TCTGAAGTTTAAAAAAAGAATTATTGAAATCCTACCGTCAGATTTTTAGAAAATTGATTTCAAATAACTAAACAAATCTATGATTTACATTAAAAAGGTATTAAATAAAAATAAAGTTTAAACGCTCAAAGATTTTTGTTACCTCTATTTATTTATATTTTTTGTGAAATTTTTGTATTTTTATATCGATTTACGTTAAACATAAGGCTACATCATTGTCTTTTCAGAAACTAATTAACAAATAATCTGTTGCCATATAAAATATTCTCTGTAGTTAAGTACCGTAGCCATTCTAAAAGTTCAAAAGTTTTTCGTATTTTCTTACGCATGCGTACCTAAACATAGCGCTTTTTACTAATATCTAAACGACCGTGATATATATATATATATATATATATATATATATATATATATATATATATATATATATATATATATATATATATAAATATATATATATATATATATATATATATATATATATATATATATATATATGTATATATATATATATATATATATATATATATATATATATATATATATATATATATGTATATATATACATATATATATATATATACATATATATATATATATATATATATATATATATATATATATATATATATATATATATATATATATATATATATATATATATATATATATTACAGAAACGTCTGATATATATATATATATATATATATATATATATATATATATATATACATATATATATATATATATATATATATATATATATATATATATATATATATATATATATATATATATATTACAGAAACGTCTGATATATCAAGAAAAGCTGTTCCTTCATTGTCTGGAACGTATCCTGGCTCCGATGCAAAAGACGCCATTGATGGAAATATACTTAGTGAAGCAACAACTAATAATTATTATCCGAAGTGGTTTAAACTCGACTTGCAATATGTTTTTCAGATTTATCAAATAGTTATTTACAATGCTCAAAAATATTGGAGAACAAACGGTAACCGGTTAATTGTGAGCATAACCAACTTACCAACAGATTATAAGCAGATTGCAACATTGAACAGCGAAATGAAACAAATTTTTGACGGACCATATGTGGCTAGATATATTCTTATATTTAAAGATAACAATGATTTACTTAACTTTGGAGAAATTAATGTTTATGTTTAATTTAATACTTTAAATATGTTATTTTTACTCATTTACGCCGTAATTAGAATGCGTTTGGATATTTTTAGTGTTAGACATACTTGATAATATTATGTTTAAAATAGTTTATTATTAGTGTAAAGAATTTACGCAATTTATAAGGATTTTAATAATAAAAAAAACCTTATTTTAATTCTAAATAAACTTTTTCCAAACGTTTTTCACAAAACAGTGTTTAAGAAAATTTGAAACATCTCTTTATTATTTTTCTTTTTCTTTACTTCTCATTAGATAAACCTTAAATATTCACGTTTTTATAGAAGAATTATAACAAAATATATTTATTTAAGTATTTAATCAAACCTATCACATTATAAATATATAATTAAAAAATGATAGTTCAATAAAGAAATTTATAATGCAATTTTGAACTAATCTTTTCAAAAATACCAATTTTTTGTAGATTTCCCATTATGACTTGGCTTCAGTTTTAAGTTTTGTATTTGTTTTTTAATTTATAAAAGATTTTTTATTTAATAAGTTTTTTTTTATTTCTAAAGAAATCTTTAAGAAGATTTCTTTGGAAATAATATTAGAAATACTTTTTTTACATCAAAAAACCATTATTATTATAATGTCATTTTACTACAGATGTGTATCCAGTTGATTTACAACATGTGTGTCCGATAACAGACGCTTTTGTTTTATAGTGGCCTTAAAATCTTTTTATTTTTAATCAATTTTAGGTTACTTAAAGGTTACTCACTTTCTGCAACATATACTAGAATTGTGTTGAAAGTTTGAATTAAAATTTACTATGCATATAGGTTGGAAAAAAGACTATAGACCCTTATATTATATTTGCTGGAAAAAGCCTTTAGTGTTTTCACAAGTGAAAAACGTAGACTCCTTTAAACAATTAAGATGCTAAACATCTTTTATAATAGTTGTCTTTTATTTTACAAGCTTTTTATTTTACCGGTTTTTAATTTTTCAAACAGGTTCAAACACTAATGTCTTTATTAAATAATAAAATATATATAATTATAGATATTTTTATTTTACCTTTGAAACATGGAGTTTTTTCTGAAAATCTAAAAAAGTGTACAGGTTAAACCAATTTTTGAATCAGGTGATCTGATGTGTCCAACAACCCATCTCAGTTCTTAATTGTATTTCGAAAATTTTGGATAGTGTTATGTGTAATAAACTTTATTTTTTTTTAAATGTTAAAAATATTCTTTACAAAAAATAATTTGGGATCAAATCTGGTACGTGAAATATTTAAGGCTTTTTTTGAAAAAATCTTATCGTACTTTAAATGTCTTTATTGGTCTAAGAAAAGCGTTTAAAACCGTAGATCATAATACTTTTACATAAATTTAAAAAATACGATATTTCAAATTCTAACTAGCTTGGTTAAAAAATTGTTTAAAAAATAGAAAGCAATGCAATTTAAATGATTGCGAAAAATCAGGTTTAATGACAGTTACCTGCGGCATCCTCCAAGGATCAATTCTTGGGTCGCTTTATATCTCATTGATATAAATGAATTGAGTAAATTCTCAAATACCTTAAACTCGATTTTTTTTGCCAACAATACTAACGTATTTTATTCTAATAAAGACATTAATGTTTTATTTGCAACAGCAAATAAAGAGCTTGCCTAAATAAGTGGTTTATGTTGAATGAATTGTTCATGAATATTAAAAAAACAAAATATACCTTCTTCAATCGTCTTCATGAATGTGAGCACATTCCCTAAAAACTTTCTAATTTTTTTGTAAATATCTCTTATGAGAAGATATAGCATTCTTTGTCGTTTACGGGCATAGTTTTGGATAAAAATGTAATATGGAAGGAGTGCGTACGTATAAACCAAAATAAAATATATATATATATATATATAATATATATATATATATATATATATATATATATATATATATATATATATATATATATATATATATATATATATATATATATATATATATATATAGCCACACAGTTGTTAATTAAGTCACAGTTGTAAATTAAGTTAATAAAGTCACGCAATTGTTAAACCGAACCTGTTTGAAATTCATTTACTTTTCTTTTATTCATTGTTATTTAAATTACGCTAATGTTGCTTGGTACAGTACTAATGTATCTAAAAATAATAAGCTGCTAATTAAACAAAAACATACTGAAAAAGTTATTAAACAAAACAAAAACAGGCTGTCAGATTTATTGAAAATGTTGATCGCTACTGACAAACTTAATTTCTTTAATGAATTCAAAATACTCGACGTATTTCAATCAAACCTTTATCATATTCTTTTACTTATGTTCAGAGGTAATAATAAAATGGTGTTCATCTGCTTAACTCATTTTTAAAAAGAATAAATCATTTATACCCAAAACGATTTTAAAATAACAATTACAGTAAACGCTCTATATAAGCAACTCTATGAGTAAAAGTTGCTTTTAGTAAAAAAAAGAGTATAAAAATACTTATTGTTATTTCTTTTACAAACTAAACTTACAGTTTAGTAAAAGAAATAAGTAAAGATTTCTACTTATTTCTTTTACTAACTAAACTGTATAGAATAAATAAATTCAGCTTTATTTTGCAAAAGAAAATATTTTATTATCATTATTATCATATAAGCGTAGTAAATTTTATTAAAAAAAAAAAAATTAAACAATCGAATTTTAATAAACCTTTGGTTTAGTACAGAAATAGATGCCCAAACAAATAAAAACATTTACATACGTTTGTTCATGATAGCTTTTTCTCTTATTCTTAGTAACAAAAGAACCTTATTGCAGGGTAATTCTCTTTCTTTTTTTTTTTTTTTTCTTTTTTTACGCACTCTACAACCAAATTAAAATAATATACATTATTGATTTTTTATAGGAGTCATCCAACGTTTTTTCATTTTCTTCAAGAGGAGTAGGTTCACTTTCTACTTTATGATTTTATGGTTGAATTTAAAGCACAAAAAAATTAATTTATTTATTATCTAACAGAGACTAACAAAATTCAGGTAACTATTCTATTTGTACATATTATGAATTTTATTATAAATTGTTCGAGGAAGCAACCATATTATTTTTTAAATAGATTATATAAATGTGTAAATGTGATGCGTCAAAATATAAAAAAAAAGATTATACTATGTATGGTAGTGATGTATTTTCGCTCATAAACTTTTTTTAATTGATTTAAAATTCTTCAAATATTGAGGGTAAATCAGCTAATAAAATAGTGGACATTTATTTTGAAAAGTTTAGTATTATTTCGCTAAAAAATAATATATTGCTGTCATGCAGCATAGTTCAATGAAAATTTTTTCAATTAAAAAAAGTTTTTCGAGACTTAAAAAAAGTTTAATTTTGAATTTATGAACAAAACATTCTAGGCTTGAATGTTTATATGTGCTAGAATCTAGCAATAATGTACTAGAATCTAGTAAGTAAATTTGAAATTTAATAAGTTATTCAATAAATATACTAATTAATAATTAGTATATTTATTAAGTACTTTTTAAATACTTATTAAAAGTATATTTAAATTATACTTTTATAAAAGTTATTCAAGGTATTTATTAAATACTCTAACCCTTTCATATCTATACTCTTCTCTCTAACTTGTTAGACTCCAACGTTTATTACATTAAGTTTATTTACGTTTTATTAGTTGTTATACTATTTGTAAATATTGAATTTATAGAGCATGTATTTTAAATAATTATTGATTGATTGATTATGTTATTATATATTTAAATACGCAACAAAAATTAAGCGGAACCTTTCTATAAAAAGCCATCGTCTGTTGTGTTAGTTATCATTAATCTTTTATTGTTGATGGTACAAAAATTGTAACACGTGGAGATTGTGGCAGCGTCTGTCAAGACAGATTGAAAAACGTGGTACAGATTGTAACACATAACTTAATAAAAGAGGGTTGTCATCTATTTTCATTGATGGCTGAAAATGTAACATTTATAAGGTACTTTATTATTCTACACAAATAAAAAAATCAGTATAAAATATGCGACCGAATTATAGTTTGACACAAATATTTTGAAATGGCAGTAAAGGTTAAAAGGAAATAAGTTGTAAAATAAAATATAAGTCACAACATAACTCTTATAGTTTCGTTTGATAGATATATTTTATTTTTAAAGATGTGGTAAAAGAAAAACTGCTCCAAATCAGCAAACCATGTATCAAAATGTGATACCAAATGTACTGTAATGCAATTATTTTGAAACTCTTCGCCTGTTCAGAAACAATTACATTCAAACAGTTTGTTAGAAAGTATTATAGTTTTTTCTCAAATTAATGCAACAAAAGGCTAGTAATATTTTCACTACATTAATGCCATTGTTAATAAAGGTTATGTATAGTTTTTCTTATCCAGTTTGTGTGTGTTTTTTGTATATATTGAACAAATAATTTGATTTTTTAGTATCACAAACTGAGCAATTAGATAATGATATTGTGACCGTCGAAAAAAAAGAAAGAAGCTATTGAACAAAGTATTGATACTGTCTTATCTGAGCAAGAAGATATTGAAAAAGAATTAAACGCCCAATATGAAAAAGTAAAGTTACTGGTTGTGCAAAAGCAATATTCAATAACTAAACGTTTAAGTAATCCTACAACAAAATTTATGATAAATGATACATGTTCAACAAAATATAGAAGACGAGACGAGTCATGAAAAGTTATGGATTTTGTTCATGGTGGCAGTGATGGTGCTATTTATGGTGCATGGGATCTTTTATGCAGCATTACGCCAATAAAATTGATGGATCATTTTACAACAAACTACAAAAGAGGAAAATTCCTTGAAAATTTATGTGGCTCAATTTCCAATAGTTATGTCAAAAGTAAAGCTGGTATAAACAAAGCAGTTGCATTAAAATATGTTAATTATTTAACACGGCGTAAGTACAACATGATATGCAAAGTGAAAAAATCTACATTTTTAGATGATTCCAGTTCAGTAAATTCAGTTCAAAACGGTGATCTTAACTTTGAATTGAATATGTCAAATGTTTCAAATAAAACTGTTGAAAAGTTTGTTAAATTATTAGACATCAGTGAAATCCATCAAATACCAGTGTGGAGTATAAAAAACAGTGACATTATTAGTGACAATG